ATAATAATATTTTGAATAAAGATTTTCATACTTTTTCTTCTCTCTCTTTATATATATATATATATATATATATATATATATATATATATATATATAAATATTTATAAAATATTTATCATTAATATTATGTGCTATCTGGGTTAATACTTTTAATCTTGACAGTACTTTACGTAAGTATTTCATCACTTAGTATTACATATTAGTATTACATATTAAAGTAATATGTAAAGTATTACATATTAGTATTTAAATATTGACAATGCTCTACGTAAGTATTTTATCACTGAACGAAGTATTGTATGTCAATATTTAAGTTCTGAAATCATTCATAAGGTAGTATTTGTAAACACTAAACACTGAAATACTTGAGCACTAAAAGCTGTACTTGAATCACAGCATATTACTAAACACTGTACTTTTAATACTGAAAATAAGTAATTAATCAATGATTTTCAGTATGATATTTCTGTAAGGATTTACAAAACGAATTCACAGAATTTGGGTGATTTACAAAATCGGATTCTTGATGAAGCTGCTCTTATTCCTAATGATTATATTTTAAATGACGTTTTATCTGTTTAGGATAGGATAGTTTGTTGTCAGGTAAGCTGTTGATGATGGAGATTTTAATCAATTGCTATAAACCTTTCAGGTTTTGCTTTTGTTAGCTCAGTAATTACCGATCTTGTCTTCGTTGACTAGACAATTACCGATCTTGCTTTCCAGCCGTAGGCTGGACATCTTACCATAAAAAGTTCGATAACTTCGAAATAGTTTACTTAAAGTGAATAAAATTATAGTGTTTTGAAAGATTTGAAGAAAGGTTATAAGAATATGTAATAAAAAATAAGGAGGTCCATTTAAAAAAATCAAGGTAACCTTAAATGACTTTCTGATCTTAATGACGTCACCAAAGTCAAACTGATAAGATCAGTAAATAGATCTTTTTAAACTTTATAACTTGTATGTAAAACAGTTTTCTATAAAACTTATATTTTTCCGAGATATTTTGAAGTCCCGGTATTTTTTCCTTATCCTGTATATAAATAATACATTTAAATGTAATTACCTTATGATGTATCCGCTCTTTGTAACTTTCAGACCTGTTGATGTTTGACGTCTTTGGCTTACTGGAAATATTTTGCTGGACCCTAAGTAATCACAACAAAATATAAATTAATGTTCACGGTGCAAACTGGACGCAATAAAACAATAATATTTATTAAATGTTAATATATTTGCAATACTATTATGTAGAATAGAAAAATGAAAATTCAACAATTTAAAAAAATTCAACGATTTAGGAAAATTTTTAGGCAAATTTAGGAGAAATAAATAATTAAATAATATTCAAATTTAGGAAAATATCAGATAAAAAAGAACCAAAATTATAAATTTAACAATACGAAAAACATTAATTTGATAAACAGTTATTTTAAAATTCAACGTTTCGCGAGTTTAGGAAGTTCATTAAATCAAAGTGTCAAACCTAAAATATAATCATAAACATAGAATAAATATATTGTATCAGACTTGACGCAACACTAGTAATTTAATCGAGATAATATTAATCGAGATATGTCAAGACGGATCTAATTCAACGAACTTAGGAAAGTTACATTTTTAAAACATAAAATAAAATGATAAAATGTGAAGCTGATAGGTTTTACTATTAAAATTTTTAATAGCAGATCTTTCAAGCATTTAGCTGTTAAAACAATAACTATAAACTTAAGAAATAATTTTCATAAAAATGTACAATACAATAAGTAGATATAGATTAGTATTTTGTCATCTGAGTACGTACATCTCGGATATATCTTCTCGAGAAGAAGGATTGTCCATGTTATCATGATCGCTAGTTCCTCCTAAACCAAAAATTCGCGTTCTCTCGCAATTGTTGCGAATATTTCCGGTTAAGCCACCTGCGCGTTGTTCCCCTAGAATCATAAATTATAATCATTAATTATAAGTCATATTAAAATTTTAACTCGTAATCAGCAATTTTATATAAAGATTTATTTATTCTTTAGTGCTATAGTTTATCTTGTAATTTATATTTCAGTTGTCAAAACAATATTTTTATCATAATATACTATTCGTCACAGTTATTAAATTAATGCAAAGACTTTATTGCTTCTCTAATATATATCTCTTATTCTAAACGCTGTTATCGATGTAAAAGTTACTTTTTCCAAAAAGAAATCAAGTACACGTCCAAGCATCTTTTCCGTAAAATAACTCGTAAAGAAAAACTAAAAAATGTCACAAGTAAAGACAAAAATAATAATTCTTAGATGTATAATTTAAAATTCTACAAAACTAATAAAATAAAAAAATTACGCTGACTGGTGATGAAAAGTATATTATACAAAATATGACAAAAAATGAAGAAAAAAAAATTAATTTGATGCAAAATATTACCCGAACTAAAAGATAGGATATATTAAATATATTTTATTATAACCCAAACCAAAGAAGTTAATATTTATGTGAAAATCCTTAGACTACTACCCATACAGCACAAAACGTTGAAAAAACGTTGGTGAGACGTTACAACGTTGAAGACAGAAGTGTGGATGTTTTTTCTACATGGAATTTATGTTGATTTTTCACCATTGATTACACGATATAGCTGCAACATTGAATATATATCAAACAAAAACTACAATATTTTTCAACATTGCAACAACATTTGAGGAGCATTGAAAAATATCCAGTAAGCAAGAAATCATTAACGTTACTACAATGATATCAAAGAACCTGTAATATTGTAAAATAAATTATTTAATATTGTCAAATAATTGTTTAATATTGTATCAGACATTATTATGAACATACTTTGACCGCGATTTGGAAGTTTCAATAATGTTAAAATAAGGTTACTGTAATGTTTTAATCGGTAGAAATATTTTTAAGATGTTGCATTGATCTCAGATAAATGTTAAAGCAACATTTGAAAAATATATATTTTGTAATGTTTTTAAAACGTTTAACAACATTCAGAAAAATCATATCACTAAATAACATGTGAAAATTATTAAAAAATGTCCAAACAATGCACATGAAGTCAATGTTACTAAACATTAATTTAATGTTCCTTGCTTACTGGGTATATTGTTAAAATTAATTAACCATTTTTTATTATATAATAATAAAATAAATTATTATTAACTTTTATTATATTAATACATATATATTACGTGTTAAAAAAGATGTGAATGATCACGCAAGATATAGTAGATGAACTATAGTAGCCACATTTGCTCGTATATTAGATCAAACTGAAGAAAGTCCTCTATCTTTTTCCCAATAACTTTTTAGATTTTTAATTATTAATTAGATAATATTAATATATCGCGAGTGACCATCTGCCAATTTTCTTTAATTAAAAATTAAAAAGATATTTAAAGTGCCAACGTGTACAGACTGTCCCAGACTCTTCCTCACAATTTTTGTGGGAACGTAGAACGAATTGAGATAAACATAAAACTCCTTTACCGTTTTATACCCATACTGTTTTATACCGTTTTATAACCATACAGAAGTTATCTTTTTAAAAAAAGGTAAAAAAGAAGCCAAATGCATGTGCTTTGTTTCGCTTGCAAAAAATATTATAAAGTTATTGGTAACATTCTTACAAAAAGAAATTATATCAAACGGTTTACGTTAAGTGAAATTAATTTCTTACACAATATTGTTATAACTACTTTGTATATATGAACACTACATTAAATATTTACTAACTTTATTTTCTGATAATTACACAGAATTGGGAAAAAATACTTTTTAAAAGCTTATTGAGTAAACATTTTGTAAGCTTATTTAGTAAAAATTTTGGCAAAAATTTGTCACGATCCATAAGCAAAAGACAACGGATTGTCACGAACAATAAATTGTTTACGCCGAACAGCCACGAAACAAGCGCCGAACATCCGCGACGTCAACAAACAGCTTCGCTGTTTGCTAAAATTCGTATAAAAGCTGACGCGAAATCGAGATCAAGAGAGACCTGCCGGAGAGCTCCTCTGAAACGCTCAAACCGACTCGCAGTAAACCTTTCGCCTCACCGCTTCCTAGACGCTCCGTCGACCGAGTTGAATACGCGACATCGACATCCTCTACCTAACCCGTTCCGTTGACCGAGTTGGATACGCGACGTCGACATCTTTTCCATATACCGTTCCGTCGACCGAGGTGGATACGCGATGTCGACATCCTCCATCTAGCACCGCTTATTTCCACCGCGAAAACACCGATCACGCGCCCGAGATCGCCAACGTATTGAAGCGCTCTCGAGAATACGTAATCAACGTTAAACGTATCATCGCGCTAACAAAACCGCTCCGACATCGCATAACGCATCTCACGTATACAAGTCGCAAGACACACCGCGACAATAACCGTCCCGAAACCGGCTCAGTTAAAAGTCGGTATCAACAACAGTTTAAATCCCGCTGAGTATACAAACTCACAACGCGGGCAATAGAAGATCGCGAGACAACACCGACCGCGTCCCGCGAGCCTGGACGCTCGCAGCTGTCATCGCGACGACAATCAAGACTCACGACGTGAGCAAAACCACGGCCACGCACCAACGGCGTCGCGCTATCTGTAAATAATTGTAAATAGCGTTTACTTAAGAATATATTTTACATTTCTAATTACTTATGCCACTGCTTCTAATTTATTGAGCTAAACCTTGGACCGCACCGACTAAGTCTATCCCGCACGTAACACAAGAGCATTACAAGTTAAATAAAATTTCATACGCATACACAAAACACTTGGCGTGCCAGAAGAGATCGCATTAATATTTTTAATACTTTACAAAATTCTTTGAAGCGTATGTTATAAGAATAGCGTTAAAAGTGTTACATCCTGTAGGCTACATGCACCTTCACTCATACATTAGAATACATTGCGTAAGATCAGTCATTTACCTAACAGAATCCTAAAATAGATAAGTACACAAGGGCCTAAAACCTCGGAAACACATCATCCACACTGCGCATGACCATGAATCATCTCCTATCATGCAACCTAATCGAACATTCTCGAATTTTCCATTTTCTCCTCCAATCCAAGCTACTATCCTCACTTCAAGCACGTCATCTCCGGCCAATCCAGTAATAGTTATCCCCAAATTTCCTAATTTCCAAACCTAGTTGTTCCCTATAAAAATCTCAACCTACATCTCTTCGGATGGATTCTCTATACAGTCGTTGCCCATTCCTAGTCATTCTTGTCAATCTGATGTCTCGCCCTGAAAGAAGGGTATTCATTCTGGGAGCGGTGCACTTGAACACAGTACAATTGGACACGTTGCAAATGGACACGACACTTGACACACGATTCAATTGGACACGGTACGTTTGGACACGAGACTTTTGGGCACAGTTGTTTTTGGACACGAGAGAAAATGCACGACGTTCAGTTACATACCGTTCACTTGGACACCGTTCAGTTGCCCACTGTTCACTGGAATACAGAACAATGCGTGCTGTTCATTTGGACACCGTTCAACTTGGACATCGTGGAATTGCTTGCCTGTTCACTTGGACACTGTTCAATCGCCCACTGTTCACTTGGACACAGAAAGTTGCGTACTATTCACTCGAATATCGTTCACTTGGACACCGTTCATTTGGATACTGTTCACTTGAACATTGTTCATTTGGACACCGTTCACTTGAACACCGTTTAATTAACCACTGTTCACTTGGACACAGAATAATGCACACTGTTCACGTGGACACCATTCAGTTGTCCACTGTTCATTTGGACACCGATCAATTGCCCACTACATTAAGCTCACAAAAGACTGCGGCTCCCACCCGCCGCGATGCGGGGCGAAGCCCCCCAGACACATCGCTAGAAACAAGCACCTTTTTATTAGTATTGAACGGTGGGCAATTGAACGGTCCAAACATTTATTAATATTGAACAGTATCCAAATAAATGATGTCCAAATGAACGGTGTCCAAATAAACGGTGGGCAATTGAACGGTGTCCAAATGAATGGTGGGTAATTGAACAATGTCCAAGTGAACAGTGGGTAATTGAACGGTGTTCAAGTGAACGGTGTCCAAGTGAACTGTGCGCAACTGAACGGTGTCCAAGTGAACAGTGTCCAAGTGAACGGTGTCCAGCTGAACGGTGTCCAAATGAACGGTGTGTAACTGAACGTTGTGCATTTTCTCTCGTGTCCAAAAACAACTGTGTACAATTGAACCGTGTGTCAAGTGTCGTGTCCATTTGCAACGTGCCCAATTGTACTGTGTCCAAATGAACGCCACTCTTCATTCTGACACTCCGCCGTCTAGTCTCTAAATCCCAGAATCCATCTTGCTTGGCCAAGAAATCCTGGTTTTCCGCGACACAAGTGGCAAGACAGAGCGATACCGCACTCCGAGGCAAAGGGCGAGATTTTGATAGAGGCTACTCTACCCAGGATACGTATTTCGAAAGTTATTCATTTTATCTTACTTTATCCATTCCGTCGCGTTCTTTAATTATTTCAATAATTCCAGTAAGTCCAAATTTTATTTCATCCTTCGAGACTTACACTTTTGTTTTACTATTTTAATGAAGCATCAAGTGCGGTTCCACTACGTTGATCTAGACGTGCTCTCAGAATTAGAGCCACTATTCAATGTGCAGCATCAATCCTATCGTGATTTCTGTCGCGAACTCATATGAAGCGCCTTAGGCCAATACCTTAGCACGGACCAGTTGCTCATCTTCCCTCCTTACCTCCTGTCTCCTATAACTAGGTCCATCTCTCCCCCGCCTCCTACACCTTCATAATTCATTTTCGTACCCACTCTCACACATAGGGTGCGTTCCGTTTCCACGCATAATGCGCATGAAGCGCAGCGTTAGAGTGACAGAGATACGAGAGTGAGATAAAAAGAGAAGGAGATAACCTCTCGGGTGA